AGGTCAAGAACACAAGTGTGTAGACTTTTAAAGTCAATTTATGGCCTCAAGCAGTCCTCAAGACAGTGGTATTCGATTTCATAATGCGATAATGTCGTATGATTTCAAAATGATAAATGAAGCATTGTGTATATACAAAGAGATCCAATAACAAATTTGTTTTTATTATAGTTGATGAGATTACTTATAGCTGGAAATGATAGGGATGTCAATGAACAAATGGTGGTTATCTCATTTTGGATGAAGATATGGGTGAAGCTGCATAATTCTTGGAGTCAAGATTTCAAGAGATCGCTCAAGAAAATTAGTATCTCTTTCACAAGAACCAACATTAAAAAATTCTTGAACGATTTTTATATGCAAGATTTAAACCCATAGACAATCCTATCGCGAAAGGCGAGACTTTAAGTCGTAAATGTGTCCGAAGACTCCACAAGAAAAGGGACAAATGAGAATGTTCCTAACAAGTGCTGTTGGAAGTCTCATGTACGCCATGATGTGCACTAGAGCCGACATCTGTTATGCCGTGGGTTGGTAAGTAGATACAGTCCGACCCAGGACAAGCACATGGAAAGCAGTGAAGAGAATCTTAGATATCTAAAAGGGACAGTGATTACTCTTATGTTATCAGGAATGATTTACCTTGAGAGGACACCGATGGATTGGGGAGGAGATTTAGATGAAAGAAATCTATCTGGATATGTTTCTTACTAAATGGTGGGGTCATATCTTGGAGCAGTAAGAAACAATCATGCATGCTTATCTATAATGGAGGCTGAGTTTGTAACATTTTCAGCTGCAGTGCAAGAGCCGTTTGGTTAAGACGGGTCATGAATCATCTGGGAATAATAATGTTGCTTTGAACCTGTAAGAATAAACTGTGACAGTCAAGCAGCAATAGCATACACTAAGGATCCCAATATCATGGTTAAACGAACACATAGATATCAAATATAATTTTGTGCGAGACTTGGTGGCACAAAGGAGGTGAACATGAAGTAAATATCTACGCATGACATGGTTGCGGATCCATTCACAAGCCATACCAAGAGATACTTTCAATAGACATGTTAGATCTCTAGGCTTACGTAGATGTTGAATGTATTATACTTTGAGATTTTCCAAAATTGTTCACTTTGGTTATCAATATTAAATAACAATGTTGTCAATGCTCAATTTCGATTATTATAGAACATACATGAAGGAACATAATATACATATTAGTTAGTAAATATTATATATGTCTTTTGAAAAGCATGTCGGACAGTTAAAAGATTGGCCTTCTCACACAAGCAATTGCCTCCACTTCGTAGGGATGGAGATGAGACGATTTTAAGCTTATTATCTAGGTGATAATAGAGAGTCAAGCTTAAAATGTTTGACGTCGCCTAAAACGAGAATTAAAATAATGTCATAATGGAAGGTGACCACAAATGATAAATAATCACTTATCTGTCTAATTGCCGATTAGAGTTCTGATGAATTAAAAGTATATAAAGTGAACTCAAGTTAGACATTAGGCATGTCTGAACAAAATCTGTACCGCATTACAAGAAAAGAGACATGCTCTCCATGGGAAGGAGGAAATGCTGTAGCATGTGATTCATACCACAGTGCAAAACATTGACCAAAGGGGTAATAAAAGTCAAAATTCAACTTTAACATTGTGTGAGACCCTGAGTTTTTTTTTAAGAATAAATCTCATAGAATACCTGTTACTCTATTCTGTTTCTTCAAAACTTCATTTAATAATTGCATCTTAGAGTGTTACCAAAGGATTAAGATAAATTCAATCTGCTGGGACATTTCTAGAAAAGCAAGTTAAATGAAAGTTGCAGAATCGAGAAAGAGGAAGATTACGATTTTGAATTATCACACTATAATCACGTGTATTCATTGGTCGACCAATATGTTTTATTTTATGTAAAGATAGAACATAATTATGAATACAACGAATATTTTTTTGTAAATGAGATTGTTAGAAAAAGTGATAGTAATCTAGGGTTATGCAAACAACATACAATCTGAGTTTCACAATTCGAGAAGTTTATATTCCTACAGATATATGACTAACGTGCTCTCGAAGTATGCATGGTCACACGCATATTTACTAAGTATGAAATTAAAGAAGCATAGAGAGAGAAAGTCCCATCATGTGTGAGTGGGAGATATTGGATAATACACCCATGATGAAGGGGTGTGAGAAGTGGAAACTGCCAAAGGCAGTTTCTCACGAACCGTCCATATAAAAGGAAGGTGTTTCTTTTAGAAAAGGTTACTCACTACAACACACACAAAAATGCAAAGGAAAAAGCTCTCTCTCTCTAGAATTTGGAAAGAAAAGAAATTCACTTCGTAGTTTTCTTCCAGATTAACTTTATTGCTTCAGAGATAAGGAAAAGAGGTATTTATGCTGTGTAAATTCATTGTAGTTCATTTGTATACAAATGTGATTGCAATGGTGACTATGATCCTGGATTACTTAAGATATATGTTATTGTATGTGTATTTCTAACATTTATACGGTTCTGATTTCCCTGAAAAATACAAGGTATTGGAATCACTCACCCCAATACTAAAGTCTTCATCGTCAATCAATCTTCTATTTCTAATCTAAAGATGATAAAGATGTGGAAGAATTTATCCTTTACTTCGTCAACTTTGTTAAGAGTTTTACGTGTATGAAGTAACCACTTGACAAATAAAGCAAATCAATAAATTCACAAATTGTCTGAGACATTTTTGTTTTGTGGCCCCCAAAAACTCTAATTTAGGCGTTATAAATTATTGTTTTAGATCTACTATATATTCTTAATACTTTACTTACCTTTATTCTCCTAATTCGTGATACAAGTGCATTTTCCAAATGGACTCCCGACCTATTAGGAAGTTCAAAACCTGTAATAAGAGTTAAATTAAAATCTGATCTTTTTAAATATGCTTGACAAACAAGATCTTTCATCGAATTTCTTTTCAGGTTTGATCTAAAATTAGATCATATAATCGTAATTAGGAGTTTGATTTAGAAGGGATAAATTTGAACCATATATATATATATATTTTTTTTCCTGCACATAAAAAAAAAAAATTGTGAAAATCAAAACCTCTTGTCATTTTCTATCTCCCGTCTTTGTATATATATTTAAAAAATAAAAAGAGGAAAAGAGAAATATGGTAGTAAAGGAGAATATATTTTTTAAGGTTAAAGGTAAGAAACGCGGCCAAAGATAGTTGGTTGGTCGGCTCAGAACTTTACAGAATCGTAAGATTATAACCGGAACAAAAGATTGGTTACACGGCACGGTAAGCAAGACAGCTTTTGAATAGGCCCCACGTTTGGCGGTGGGCCAAAAATCCAACTAAAGTACAACATCAAGTAATTATTGTCAAACAACCCCACGTGGCCAGCTCTAGTTGGTTTTTCACTGTGGGAAAGACCCCACGCCTTAATCATCCAGCTGTATCAACTGCTTCTCCGCCAAACAAATTTCAGATCAATATTCAGTACATGACATATTACACCCCAAGCCACCCTAGAATCATTTGATATTAAAGCCATCATCAGAGTAAGGTTACCAAACGTGTCACTCTATACCTTTTCTTTTTAATTTAATTTATAATTTATTATACAAGTCAGTGATTGTTGGGATTGAGAATCTGGCATAATTTTTTTTTTTTTTTTTTTACCATTTTAATAATAATCTTATATCAAAGTTTGATGCATGAATAACAGTGAACTAATATCAAAATATAACAACAAATAATAACATTTTTTAAGACAATGTGTCATATAAAACGAAAATTGTGAATTACTATGATTTTTTTTTATTTTTTTTCAATTATATGTTTTTATGTGGAAAAATAAATAAATTCTTATTATTATAAGACATGTTGAGCACAATAAAGTGTTATGGTGATTATACTAATATCAACTTAACCTAATTCTAAAATTAAACTTCAAGGAGTTTGTCTGGTGATCAAAGGGGTTTTGCTTTCTTTCTTGAGTTCTTAGGTTCAAACCTTGGGGGATCATCTATCATAATAACATTGTGACTTACTTGATATTTTGAGCTTGTAGGATGTTCAATGGACCCTGATAATTAAATAAATTGTCCGCAAGCTAGCTCGGACACCTCAGTTACTAAAAAAAAAAAAAAAAAAATCTAAAATTAAAACCAACTATATCACTTGATGTTTATATGAAATCAAAATACAATTAATGATTTCCAAGTCATTACAAACACGTTAAAAAATTTTAGCAAGAAAAAAAAAAAAAAAAAAAAAAAAAATATTTTGACAAATATTAGTTACAACTCTTGTTTCATTTTGGATCCATTAAATTTAATTTGAATAAATTAAAATTTGTAATCATCAAATAGTAGTATCTAAATGGTATTATAATAAAACTTATCCCTTTACTTTATTTTTTACAAAACATCGTTATGTAAACATTTAGAGTACTATTATTTACTTTATTATTTCAAATATTAGTTGCAAATAAACATACAAATGTAAATTTATTTGAAAGTTTATTATTATTAGATAAAGAAATAATAATGTTAAGCATTGGATCGAATATTTGATGATGTTTTTGGTAATTATTTTGGTTTGAAGGACGAAGGGAGTTGTGAAAGCTTTAAATTTAGCAGAGAAACATAAAAAAAAGACGGATACATGATGTTAACTATATTAAGCATATGTCGCGGGGAAAATTTATGACTGGTTCTAACTTTTTTCTACCCACTATTAATTAATCTATTAATCTATTGTTCCATGTCACATACACCTAATGGGCCTAAAATGCGGGACCAGCCAGACTGTGTCAAGCGCCACATTGCACTGTCGTTTTGTTTGATACTCTATGTGGGACCCAAAATGTATCGTTAATCAAACGGCTATTTCGGGCCCATTTGACGGTGGTCCCATTTATTTTAACGGGTCAGATTTAACTAAAACTCTTCCGTTACTTGGATTTAGTCTATTTATAACACTCTCTGCTACTATTGCTAGTGTCACTAGCTAAACCTCTGCGTAATCTTTTCAAAACATGGATCAGAAATGCGCAATCGCGTTTGCATTTGTGTGCATCATTGTCGCCGGTGTCGGTGGCCAGTCTCCAGCTGCCGCGCCCACAAAAACTCCAGTATCCGCTGCCCCACCGACAACAGCTCCCGTTAAAGCTCCTGTTACAGCCCCTGTAACAGCTCCTGTTACAGCTCCTGCGAAAGCCCCGGCGAAGCCGAAATCACCCGCTCCCGTTGCGACCCCGGCAACTGCTCCAACTAAAGAGACTGTTCCTGCTCCTGTCGAAGCACCGACATCAACTCCTCCCGCAGCTGCGCCCGTGAGTTCGCCGCCAGCTCCAGTTCCAGTGGCGAAATCCCCTCCATCACCCGCCCCAACAACTGCTCCGGAGGCCGCCCCTGTAGCTCCAGTGGCTGCTCCTACTACTCCTGTGGAGGTGCCGGCACCGGCTCCAAGCAAGAAGAAGAAGCCGAAGAAGCACATTGCTCCTGCTCCAGGCCCGGCTTTGTTGGGCCCACCTGCGCCACCTAAGGAGGCTCCGGGACCGAGCTTGGAAGCATCTGCTCCCGGCCCATCTGTGGCGGCCGATGAGGTACTTACTTCTTACTTTTGAGTTTCTTTGTTTAGTTGGTTTGTGGCGTGCAATGCGCATCCAGATCTAGGACGATCAACACTCTTAGCCCTTAATTAGTAGGCTTGTTTAAGCTAATTAAAACTGATTAAAGACATCCTAAACCCAAACATATCATCGTACTTGGATGTAGCACGAAAGTGATTCAAGTGTTAAGTTGATTTTGAGTCTTAAATTAGTTGATAGAAATTAAACGGTTACAAATATAATTTATTTTATGTTAGGTGTTTATTAAAAAAAAAAAAAAATAACGACAGTTGTGGTAGCTTTTGTCAATAACTAATTTCACCTGAAACTACTAAACAAGAAACAGCGAAGTTAATGTAAAGACTGTAGATAGGACACTGTACAGACACGGGGTTGCATGATATCATTAATTGTGAGTTTTATTTTTTTAATAATATTTAGGATTTAATATTCTGAATTTTTGCAGAGTGGGGCAGAAACGGTGAAGGGCGTACAGAAATTGGTGGGTGGACTGGGCGTTGGATTGGGTGTGATCGCTTTGATGTTCTAGAGAGATGATTACTCATATACCCCCACCCCCTCATGTGTCACTTTAATTACGGCTTTAGTTTCACTTTTGATGATATTTAATTGCCATTTGTTTGTTTGATTACAAATTAGTATTTATTGTTATGAATCTCTGAGCTGGTGCCTACCATATATTGCTTTGTATTTATTCTTTTGGTGAAGCTTGAGGTTGAGGGGATAGGAGACACTCTTTAATTCATTACTTCTGGACTCTTGTAGCCTGTCTATTACATCTTTTTCTTTGCTTTGCTTTTCTTTCGCTCTTGGCTTTATTCACCCTCTTTCTACCGCCGTGTCAATCACTCTTTTAATTATGGGTTTATTAGGTAGCAATCTTCATAAAATCATGAATTCAATTAATGATTGGGGCCTGTTTGTTACCATTTTTAAAAAATTGTTATTATAAAAAAGTGTTTTAAGTTGAGTTGATTTGAATAAGATCAAATTGGATTTGAATTTAAAAATTTGTTTGATAAAATATCTTATAATTATATCATAATTGAATAAAATGTTGAATAGTTATATGGTACATTTTTTTAATAAGGTTTATAAGATAGAATAGTTGTTTGGTATATTTTCTAAAAATATTTAAATTATTTTTTTAACCTTTTACATTTGTTAATTTATCTATATATTATCACAATAAAAGTTTAAAAATTAACTAAAGCACTCCAGTCATCCAAAAGAGGACAGTCGGTTGCTAGCCAATATCGTCAATCTCCAGAACGATGCACAATCGGTTGGATTTGGCTGATTGTACGACGATATGGCTGTTTTCGATCAGATCTATCGCTGAAATTTGGTTGTTGTCAACGGCAGTAGATCTAGCCAGATCTCAGCCAGAATCTAGTCGTCAACAACCATATCCGGCTGGTCATACGTCGTTCCAACCACGTTTGGCGATTGACAGTGGTGGTCTTGGGTGTTTTAATTTTCAAATTGGAAGGAGAGAAAGAAAAATGTTTTTAGTTGAATAGAGTTGAATAATTTGAAAACAAAGCCTCTTTTCATTTTGAGTAATGCTATGCTTACTCACCATCTTACTAACCATCTTACTATTTGTGCATAATACAAATACCATATGCATAGTGCAGATATTAGTGTAATTTTAACAAAGATAGTAAGACGGTTAGTAAAACTCGTGAATAAGCATAGTATTTCTGTTTTATTTTTAGACAAAAAATTTTATTTGAATTGGATTAATTTTTAAATTGAATTGGTCCAATAAATATATAAACACATATCATATTTTTAATCAAAATAAGATAATAGAATAATGATATAAAATAATGTAACAACTGGGGGTAAAACTGTGTCTTTCTCATTCAAGGTAACAAAGCTGTGATGACTTTGACTTAACTGTCCACTTGAATGTGGTTGACCAAATTACATACACGGAGTTGTTGCAATTAATTGCTGGATTACATTTAATCAATCGTTAAATGGCTACTTGCAATTTGAACATATATCACATGCTACAAATTAATTAATTTTCCCATTGTGAGATCTGTCGCAGCAACTCTCTTTTCTGTTGTCTACTTGCCCTTTAAAAATTTGTAGATAGAAAACTCAACATCTTATAAACAACAATTAAATTTATGGAAAGAGGTGCAAAAGAACATGAGCAACACATCTGTATTTCTCTGTAATAACTTTCCTGTTGTCCAAAATAATATGTCATATGTCTTATCTCATTTGATGATGATTTTTCATAACAACAACTCTGTTATTCCCTGACCATCAGATTTGGATGAAGCTTTCAACTGAAAATTTAGGTGAAGTTATTGACACAACTGTAAAATTTGTGATTCAGATAAATTTAAAATATCCTTTCAGGGAATGAATTATTGTAACTTGCTCACTAAGATTTGCCTTTAACCAAAAGTAGCATTATTCAGTGATAAATACTTATTACTGAATATATAATATATCTGCTGACAAAAGAGAGACCCACTGTAAGTACTGACTCACCTCTTTTCTTTTATAAAGGCCCCCCTTTTTTTTTTTTTTTTTTTTTTTTTTTGAGTGTAGCTGAAGAGCAATGCTATCGTCATTGAAAATTACGTATCGAATATATGTACCGAATGACGTGATAAAATCTTAACTGTTTATTTATTATCAGTTAATATTAATCAATAGTCAGGATTTTTTCGGTCATTCGATGCACAGATTCAATGCACAATCTTCTGTGGCCCTATCATTTTTGTTTCAAGAATGGAAATGTTTTTCTTTTCTTTTCTTCCCTTTTTTTTTTTGGGTTTTTGTCTAAGCTACCTGCCTACCTCCTTGACTTGAAGTGGTAAGATTCCTGAACCGACTGAATAGTGAATATGGTAGATTTAGAAGCAATTTAATTTGTCCGAATAGGAATAGCCCACAGCTGATTGAGCAACCCATTCCAGGTTTCCCCTGTTTTGTTTGAGTTTATTAATTTCCCTTGAGGTATCATAAATAAAAAATTTCCCCCTTGGTTACTATAAATAATATTTTGCCCATTACGTAGTAATTCGTTAGGGTTTTACTGTTTGATTTAACGGTTCAAGTTTAAAATGTATTGATCAGAATCATTAGATGACGAAAACATTAACATACCATATTATAAATGATAAATTATTATTTTAGATACTTGAAGGGTAAATTTTATTCTATGTTACATTAGGGGAAAAATTGTAAACTCATTTTCTGTTGGTAATTGATTTGATATATATGCTTAAGATAGGTATTATATTTATATGCAATCCTAAACTGATTTATATATACATTATCTTAAATTTAAATGCATTCAATTATTAAAAAATTTAATTTGACTCTTAAAATAGCGTTAAATTTTTTACTTTTTGGTCTTCAAATCCCACGAGAAAAAAAAAAAAACCATGTGTTGATGCGTGATTTTTACATCAACGAAATGCACGTGTAAAATGTTGAACTGGCTTAGAAGACACACTTGAATGCAAGAAAAATGGAGTAAATACAATGAGAAAAGCGTTTTTAAAGTGGTTCGGATGCTAAGGAAGCAAATCCTACGTCCACTGTTATTTTATTAATGATAGGGGTTAGATTGCATTAGCTGACTGATTTACAAATGATAGTACAAGCGAGTGAATGCTATAAATTATAGAGAGAGAGTGAGAGGCCAATCAAGAGTAAAATGAGCCAATCATTTGAATGAGAGATAAGCTCTCAATTTATAGTGGGATTCATTGGGATTATGATTACTGAATCTGTGAGTTGGTGGGATTATCCGTGCAAATCCTTCTTTATGTCACATTGCCCAACTTCTAGAGTGATTTACGCGATTTGGTGCAGGGATTGGACATGTGGGATCACCACAGCTTCTGGCTGTTTTGTATAACTAATGTTTATATGTGATAAAAGAAAATTTTGGGCCCATTTATTTTTGCTAATATACATATATTCTACTTGATATATTTATATAGTATAAAGTAGTCATTACACGTGCACCCACTATTCTGACAAAAGCAGGATGCGGGTGTACCCATGTTTTGACTTTTGCACGCTGACTGGACCTTACGTCAGGCCTATATTTTTCAGGCATAACACCATGTAATAATACAAATTCTTTAATTGATACTAATAAAATGCACCATAAAATTTCTTAAAATTAATGAAAAGAAAACATTTTTAGAAATTCTTATAATGTAATGAAGCTTATAAAAGTTAATTTTTTTTTTTTAAATAAAATCATAAAGTTGAATCAATTATGAAATCTAAAAGTTAATGGACCTTACGTCAGCCCTATATTTTTTAGGCATAACAGAAGTCTCCTAGTTTTTAAGGTTTGAGAATTGAACCTTGGAAACTATAAGTCATGCCGCGATTGATGATTTCTGGAAATTTTGGTGATTCTGACCTGGTTGAAGATAGGTCGGGGTAGCACTTTTTGCAAACACGACCTCGCATGGTCATTGCTTATTAAAGACGGGTGAGTGACTTGACTTCGCCAGGCGTTGCCTGTTGTACTTTAGGTATAGATGCATTTAATGAAGCAGTCTCTGCGCTGACAGATGTCCTGTGCGTGATAAGTGCCAGCCAGACGCATTAAATACGTTGTATGCTGACATGGTACCACTTTATCAAAACATTAAATGTGTGACATGCTGAAACGACAACCCTTACCAGTGCATTAAATGCAGCTTGGGGCGCAATTAATGCTGAGGGAAAGAGAAAACGATGACGGTTTGATTTTCTGTAATCGTGACGCTCACTCTTCCTCACTGATCTACGACACGTGGTCGTGATCAACAGTGAGAAATTTTTGCAGCCCAAACGTCGTTTTGATTCCGAGAAAAACAAGCGTCGGTTCATGCGCTATAAAAACTCAGATCTTTCTCAGGCAATGTCATCACACTTGTCTTTTTCACAGAGAGCAAGAGATTTTCGCAAGCTTGGAACCTTTGCCTTCCAAACCAGCGTTTTTCTGATATTTGAAGTAAAAGCCATTTTCGTACTCCGAGAGGTAAGAATCTTTCTCTGTTTTTTGTTTTCTTATTCCCGTGGTTGGTAAATGGCGTTAGTCTTCTGGTAATCCATTGGAGACACGACACTCATGTCGGGTTCGAGCCATGAATGGCGACTCGAATCATTATGTTAGGGTTTTCTCTAGGTTTTAGGGAGTTTTTCCTTCCACATCATCGTACGGAGTACCGTACGATGGCCAAATGACTCCCCTGCTTGTCGCTTTTGCAGACCAGTAGAATGGACCTCTCAACAACCAGATCCGAGGAAGGAACCAGTTCGTCCTTGCAGGATGCCCCGAGTGCCACTCTTGAGGTCTACTCGGCGCTTACCGGGAAAGAGCTCGAGAGAGTGATAAAACAATACGGTATCGACATGAAAGTTTTTCGCGATGTGGCTTATTCATCGCGATACCCATCTAGTAGGATGGCCGCGATCTTCGAGGAGATAATCAAGGGTGGGGGATTGATCCCCTTCCACCCTTTTGTTAGGTCGATCTTGGATCACTTCGAGATAGTGCCGATGCAGCTCACTTCGAACGCGTATGTTATTGTTGTTGCCATGTACATCTCGTGTCGTGAGAACGGGCTGGGCGAGCTAATTGCGACGAAGCTTGGCTGCTCGTATTTCTTGAAAAAGAGCAAGGACAAGGATTCTTATTACTTGTCCAAGCGACCTACTATAGCTGATGGGATACACAACTACCCTCGCAATGCGGGGGCCTACGAAATGAAGTTTTTCTTCTTTCGTTACGATGGCCATTGCCGCTTTCAAGACCCGAGT